CGCCCTCGCCTCCGCCGTCCGTGCCGCCGTCGACGCCGCCGCCGTCGGCCTCGCCCTCACCGCCGCCGCCGTCCGTGCCGGCCTTCCCTCCGCCCCCCTCCGCCTCGCCGTCGCCGCCGCCGCCGTCCGTGCCGCCCTCGCCGCCGCCTCCCTCCGCCTCGCCGTCGCCGCCGCCACCGTCCGTGCCGCCCTTCCCTCCGCCGCCTTCCGCCTCGCCCTCGCCTCCGCCGCCCTCCACCTCGCCCTCGCCGCCGCCCCCGTCCGTGCCGCCGTCACCACCGCCACCGTCGGCCTCGCCCTCTCCGCCGCCGCCGTCCGTGTTTCCCTCGCCGCCGCCGCCCTCCGCCTCGCCGTCGCCGCCGCCGCCCTCCGCCTCGCCGTCGCCGCCGCCGCCGTCGGCCTCGCCCTCGCGTCCGCCGCCCTCCACCTCGCCCTCGCCGCCGCCCCCGTCCGTGCCGCCGTCACCACCGCCACCGTCAGCCTCGCCCTCTCCGCCGCCGCCGTCCGTGTCGCCCTCGCCGCCGCCACCGTCCGTGCCGCCGTCACCACCGCCACCGTCGGCCTCGCCCTCTCCGCCGCCGCCGTCCGTGTCGCCCTCGCCGCCGCCACCGTCCGTGCCGCCCTCCCCTCCGCCCCCCTCCGCCTCGCCGTCGCCGCCGCCGCCGTCTGTGTCGCCGTCGCCGCCGCCCCCGTCCGTGCCGCCGTCACCTCCGCCGCCCTCCGCCTCGCCCTCGCCGCCGCCTCCCTCCGCCTTGCCGTCGCCTCCGCCACCGTCTGTGCCGCCCTCGCCGCCGCCGCGCTCAGCGTCGCCCTCGCCGCCACCGCCGTCAACCTCGCCGTCGCCGCCGCCGCCCTCCGCCTCGCCGTCGCCGCCGCCGCCCTCCGCCTCGCCCTCGCCGCCGCCGCCGTCGGCCTCGCCCTCCCCACCGCCGCCGTCGGCCTCGCCCTCGCCTCCGCCCCCCTCCGCCTCGCCGTCGCCGCCGCCACCGTCCGTGCCGCCCTCGCCGCCGCCGCCTTCCGACTCGCCGTCGCCTCCGCCCCCCTCCGCCTCGCCGTCGCCGCCGCCCCCGTCCGTGCCGCCGTCACCACCGCCGCCGTCGGTCTCGCCGTCGCCGCCGCCGCCGTCCGCCTCGCCCTCGCCGCCGCCGTCCGTGCCGCCGTCACCACCGCCACCGTCGGCCTCGCCCTCGCCAACGCCGTCGCCAATTCGACCAGGAGAGGTCGTGGTTTTCGCTTCCTCCTTCTCCCTCGAGATCGTCTCGGCCCGACGGCAGCGCGCTCTAGCCGCCATGGACTTGGTTGCCATTGAGGCCGCTTTGATCGATTCCTTCGCCACTTGCGACCCCCCTGTGATTGTCTCCGCCGAACAGATGACCCTCGAGGATCTCGGCGACGACAAGGTGCAGGCCACCATCGTGCAGGCCGAGGGTGGGCCGGCCGCGGAGGACATCACGGCTGCCGCGGAGCAGCTAGCCTTCCTCACACGCATGGCCGAGCAGCTGGGGGTGGCTAAAGTCGGCTTCGACGCGCCGCCCGTAACGGTCACGGTGGTCGTTGCGCCGCCGCCACCCTCCGCCTCGCCCTCGCCGCCGCCGCCCTCCGCCTCGCCGCTGCCGCCGCCTGCCTCCGCGCCGTCGCCGCCGCCGCCGTCCTTCACGCCCCTCATCGACGTCGATCCAGGACGGTCTGATGAACTCACCAGCGAAAACGCTGGTGACGATGGCCCAGTGCTCGAGCTGTGGGCGGTGGCTCTTATCGCTGTGGGAGCGGCCGCTGCAGTGCTGTGCTTGGGGGGCTGTTGCATTTGGCGGAGACGGAGGGGCGCTTGAGGTTTGTGCCGTCCGCCATCGCCGCGACGCGATGCAAGACTGAGGCCGAGTGTGGAGTCGTGCCGGGATTGCGGGTAAGTAGCCAACTGGAGGTGCCAACTGTGCGTCTCTGAATCTTTGAAAATATGTGTGCACCTGCTGTGTTTTCGTACCTGTGAGTGAGAGCTGATATACGCTATCGTTCCATCGGTCTCGCGCTGGAACCGAGACGCCGTCGGTCAACCCGTCATGCGGCAGGTGGCTTGCTTTGGCTCGCTGCCACCGCGGTGGCTCACCAAGGACTTTTCAGCGTGCTGCGTCATCACCGCGCGGCGCGCAAGCCACGCCTCACCCGGGCAAAAAGAACGACCGCGCGCCGCCGCCGCCCGCCGCGCCGCCCCGCGCCTCGCCTCGCCTCGCCTTGCAGCAGCGCACGCGCACACGCACCCACGCGCCCGCGCTCCCTCGCTCCGCGAGAGCGAAGCAACCCTCCAAGCGAGTTCCGAACCGGGAGCCAAAAGGTCCCGGCTCGAACCGGTGAACCGGTTCGACCACCGCCGCTGGCGGTTCTTGCAAAGGCATCAAAGGCAGTGCTTGATATAACGTTAAATAGTGCGAGCGCGCGCGAGATACTCACCCGACCCACCGTGCCCTCGCGACAGAGATCTCGCGCAGCGCGCGCTCGCACACGCCGCCCGAGAGCACTCCCACCCCCGCCGCCTCGCAAGCTCACAGGTTGATTTGAGGAGAAGCAGCTGGGGGAGGTCAAAGCGGGAGAAGGCGGCACGGCGGCGGCGGCGCGGCCCCCCCCATCCCCACGCCTCCGGGTCGTGCGTACCGCCTCCGGGCGCGAGTGTCCCCCCAGCGTCTGCTCCGGCAGTCGCTCCGGTAATCAGGCCGAGAGTACCAGGGAGGAGGGGAGAAGAGCCCAGGGTGGGGAGAGGAGAAGAGCCCAGGGAGGGGGGAGGAGAAGAGCCCAAGACGGCCT